AGAAAAATTGCTTATGTTTTCAAGATCTACACGTCGTGTAAAGGAAAACCCCAACTTTGCGGACACCCTGTATAAAGCTGCCTCTTGCATGTCAAGTCAAATCCTGACTCTTATACATGCCACCATGAATCTGATTCATACAATACCCGGCACAGAGACAACTTTTAGCCATAGCAACGTAGACTTGCTAAAACGAGAAATGGAGTTAACCACCACGTCATAATATTTATAAATACGAGCCCCTTCCCACGTCAGTTGGCCTAACTATTGAAATCTTAGTTTTTTCTTATTAAACACAAATAATAAAAATGTAGCAGGGTGTTATAGGTTTAAACTATTAACAACTAATATTTTGATAATATATAGTAGAAAACACCAACTTTATCACTCCTATCAAATTTGCAGCATAAAAATAACACGTGTTGCAATTACAGCATATCAACCTATTTTCATTTCAATGCAAAATAAGCCTATAACGCATAGGTGGCTGTGAAAAATAAAAGCCATGACAATTGTTTTTATTAATCACAGCTGTCAGAATACGTTTAAAATAGTTTTGGGTAGTTAAGGTTTTCAAAATGGGTAGAGGACAGGTTATTAGTGAGAAAATTCGGTTACTGATAATTAAATTTTTTAATTCTGGGAAATCAAACTCCGAAATTGCAACTTTGTTAGACTTATCGCGGTACAGTGTGAGAAATGTTGTTAGAAGATATAACGTAACTGGTTCAGTTAATATTAAGCCACGATATGTGAAAAAAGTAATATCACAAATGCCGACCGAAGAGCACTAAGAAGAATAATCGTGAAAAACAGGCGTGCCAATTATTAATAATTAAGTGCTCTGTGGAGTGACGCTGTTGGAAGGAGAATTTCGAGGTCCACAACTCATAGAGAGGTCCACAAACTAGGATTTAGCACTTGCAAGTTAAGTTTTCTTATAAAAAAAAGTGAAGTAAAAACCCTAAAGTTGCACAACTTGTTTATAGGCCAAAGAAAAGCCACTATTAACTCCACTGCAAAAGAAAAATCGGCTTAGATGGGCTAAAGAACATAGACAATGGACGCCTCAACAATGGTGTGCAATACAATGGAGTGATGAGGCCCGATTCGAAGTTTGTGTTAGTGACAGTCACAGTAGAGTTATTCGCAAAAAAATGAAGCATTCCATGTTGACTGTCTGAAGAGAAAAGTGAAATTTCCAGCACCCATTATGGTCTGGGGCAGTATGTCATCAAAAGAAGTAGGAAAACTTCATTTTATTGATGGAAATGTGGATACAAACAAATATTTGGCAATTTTAGAAGAATGTTTGACATCCGGCCAAGATTTTGTGTTTCAGCAAGATGGTGCAGCGTGCAATACCTCAAAAAGGCTATAAAATGGATGGAAGAAAATAATGTGCCACTTTTGAAATGGGTTTCTAGCAGTCCAGATCTGTCACCTATTGAAACTTTGTGGCACGAGATGAAAAAGATTCTACGACAACATCCTGCTCGTACAATCACCGAACTGAGACAAAAGCTTCAAGAAATATGGGATTGTTTTACACCAAATTTTTGCCAAAACTTGGTTAACACTATGCCCCAAAGGATTTCAGCCGTAATAAAAAATAAAGGTGATGTTACCCAATGGTAATCTTTCAATTGTTGCTTTGTTAACTTCGCGCATTTATTCGCCCATTGTTTATTTGTTCAGATGTTCTATCAGTTATACGTCTAAGTGATTTCAAATGTGTATTTTTTACGACTAGAGTGTATCTAAAATGTTTTTGAGAAAATAAATTGTTTTAGAAGTAAATAGTTTCGTCATGTTTAGTTTATAAAGGCATATTTTGGTACAAATCTTGAAGTGGGCCAACTGAAGTGGGAAGGGGCTCGTATTATAATATTTTGCCTAAGGAACTAAGATTTGTAGCATGCAATGAATTCAGTAATGTTGTGAAAAATTTGCTCTTCTCGAAAGCTTTTTTCACCGTTGACGAGTTCCTCAGCCACAACTTCTTTACGGATACTCAGTAGTTTTATTTTATTCTATATTTTCTTTTTTTGCTTTTTATTCGAACCATATATATTATTCATTGTAGTTTTATCTCTTGTGCCACTCATTTATTGATTTGACGTAGTTTGTGATAATTTTATCTTTTATACTTTTTATTGTCTCCCTTCTAATCATATACAGGGTGTTGTCAAAGTTGAGTCATTCATTTTAACAGCTTGTAGAACTCGTCAAAAGAAGTTTTTGTACCAAAAATCCCCTAGATAAAAGTGGCATAATAAGAAAGGTAGTTTACATGATTAAGAATTGTTAAAAAATCTTGCTCAGCGAATCCACGACTCTTTACAAGCTTCGAAAAGAAAATCCTGGTGTCCACGAATTAAATCACAAGCGCTGTTAAAGATCTTCCAAAGTATTTACTGCTCCAACATGATACACCAACTCTTTCAAATAGCCCACCAGAAAAAAGCAAGGCGTTAAATCCGATGAGCTAGCAGGCCATGAAATGGGTCCATTACGCCCTATTCATCTATTCGGGCACTCATTATTTAGATGTTCACGAACTTCTCGTCTAAAGTGTGGTGGAGCCCCATCTTGTCGGAACCACATATTTTGTCTCACATTTAGAGGAACATCTTCTGATAATTGTGGCAGATTGTGTTGAAGAAAATCTAAATACATTCCACCAGTTAGACGAGGTGGAAAAAAGTAGGGTCCCAAGCATTTAGTGAAAATCTGTGTTGAGAATGAGTTCTTTTTACAGCATACGGATTTTCTACTACCCAAACATGATTGTTGTGGAAATTGTGCACTCCATTACAAGTACACAAAATTAATTTCGTAAATTCTTCATTTCTGCCGAACTGTTCTAAAACCCACTGGCACTCGACACTTTACTATGAGAAACTTCAACTTGTGCTGCTATGGCGCTAGTACTCATTGTTGGGTCGTCTTAGACCATTTCTAAAAAGTCGTCCTCAATTTTTAACATTTCAGGTTGAGCAGGTGACCTACTCGTTGTTCTTTTAAATATACTGTGTCACGAAGTCTAATAACTAAATTTACAAACATCCGTGGGGCCGGGTGATGCATTAAAGGAAACCTTTCCGCATACAACCTGCATGCTGCGGCTGCATTTTGTTGGCACTCTCCGTATGTTAGTATTATGTCCACTAGTTCATTGTTTTCGTAGACAGGGGCAATTTTTTCGCACAAAATAAGTCAAATTAAAGTAAACGCACTATTCTTTTTTTAAATGTTTAATCTTTTTCTATTTCTATTTACGGGTCCTACAAGCAGTTAAAATAAATGACTCAACTTTGAAAACACCCTGTATGTGTGTGTAATCTGTAGTGTTTGTTATTGTACGAGCCCTAACATAAAAATGTTCGGACATTATCTAATTGTATCTAAAAGTTTCTTTATTTTTGCAAGGTTAAAAATTAATTGTTTTTCTTTTATAAGACAATTAAATATGTATATTGTTTTCACATCATATTAACAAAACTGTTTTCAGGTAATATTATATTGACATATAAATGTTCGGACAGTGTTTAAAATTTGACGTTTTGATTTAAGAATCAATTCCGTGAATCAGTTTGCTTTAAAATGTCGCGTGGTAAAGCGGTGCAATCAGAGTTTTAATCATAAAATTGTTTCACCAAGGAAATAGTTGTCGAGATATTGCTAAGCAAATAAATGTCGCAAAGTCTACGGTGGCAGATATTGCTAAAAAGTATGGAGACAGTGGTTCAACTCAAGCTCCAAGTCACGGTGTTGGTAGGCCACGTAAGATCAGTCCTAGAATGCAAAGATCTCTTGTTCGTATTTGTAAAGCTGGTCGTCGGGATACTGTAAGGCACATAACAGCAAAATGGAATGAAGAAATAGCAGGAAATGTTTCACGAAAAACGTGCTGTCGGTGGATTGATAAGTCTGGTTTACATTTTCATAAGGTACGTAGGTTGCATTTGAGGTATATTTGTTCAGCACAATCTTTGCTTTAGGCAAAATAAAAGCCTTCATTTATGGAAAAACAAAAGAAAAGACGATTAGCGTGAACTAAGGAACGGGCAATGTGGACTTACGAAGACCGGAAAAAGATAATCGCAATTTGATGTTTGTGTGGGTGACCAGCGATCCCGGATTATAAGAAACAAAGATGAAACGTTTCATAAAGACTGCCTAAAGAGAAAACTAAAGTTTCCTTCAGGTATGGGGAAGCATATCTGCTTTTGGCGTTGGAAAACTTTACTTCATATACGGAATTGTAAACGCAGCTAAATTTAAAAATATCCTTGAAACCAATTTGCTAGTGTCAATTACAATTTTATCATCTGATAGAAACTTTATTTTTCAACAAGGTGGGGCGTCATGTCATACGGCCAAAATCACGAAAAAATGGTTGCAGGATAATGATATTCCATCCTTGACTAGCCTTAGTCCTGATTTTAATATTATCGAAACTGTATGGCACAAAATGAAGCAGCAGTTAAGAAATGAACTATAACGAAACATTTATTTATTGATTTACGAGTAAAATTACAAAATATAAGGGATTTTTTAAGACGGAAGACTGCAAAAACCTTATTAAAACTATGCAAGCCAAAATTAATGCTATTATTAAGGCAAAGGGAGACGTAACGAGCTATTGAAATTGTTCGTCCGAACATTTATGTGTCAGCGAAATATGGCGTTGTTATCGATATTAGTTTAGTTTTATAGTTTAATATAATACTACTTGATAATAATTTTGCTAATATAATGTTAAAACAATATATTTCAGTGTCTTATAAAAGAAAAAAATATTTTTTTTCACCTTAAAAAATAAACAAACTTTAAGATAAAATTAGATAATGTCCTAACTATTTTGAGTTAGGGCTCGTATGTATTGTTTGTTAATTATTTTCTTCCTGCTACTAAGCTTCTATTATATTGACTTGTGTAATCTTTGTAATACCACCGATAAACCTTTATAATTATTACTATTACTCATATTCCAGACCGTCCCACCTCCAAGGAGTTCCCTAGGAGTTCCGCCTTTGGGCAGTGGCGGCGGCGGCGGTATGTCTCCGTTGGGCCGGTCAACGGGCCTTTCAGTGCCTCAGCCACCTCAACGAATGTCGCTGGGAAGGCCACCCAATGCCAGCCAAGCTTCAATTTTCCCTCCCTCCGTCAAAGATCTACCACCGTCAGTCACTATCACGCCAGCACCTCCACCAGTTCAGCAACAGAAGGTAAGGAAGAGAATGTTACTAATAGCCCAGGCTACAGAGAAAAAATAGGTATTTCGTGTAAAAAAGTTTACCAGATATCTGAAAATTTTAAATGACAAATACATAAAAAATACAGCCAGATATGCGTTGTTTTTTATAAACAATGAGAAAAGCTCAAAATTCAGTATTTTGCTTGTATGATTCTCAAATTAAATGCTATAAATAATCGGTAAATTGGAGATTTTAGAGCACACAAACACCTTCAATTTATTTTTCAAGAATTCAAATCGATAAACAATTGAGCTAAATACGAGGCTTTTTAGCAATATTGAATAAATATAACTATTGCAATAACAATTTCTGAGAATGAGTGGTGTTAATATGTGTGCTAAATTTCAGCCGGATCGGTTTAATAGAGTTCATGTAAAGAGCTAATTGTTTATCCCAGAGACGAATTACGAGTATTTAAACAACTGTTCTTGCCCAAGAGATGGTCCTCGAACATTTTACAAAAGTGAAATGGATTCTTGAAGGTTTCAAATTCAAGAATTTATGCAAAACATTAATTACTTATTTCAAAATTGTTGTTTAAAAATAGCCATTTTTATAGTTATAATCATTCCCCGTTATTCTTCAACATCCACCTAAAGTGAAGGTACTGGCGTAAGTATTTCCGGGTGAGGTGGTTTTGGGAATCAGCTGTAGCTCGATTTGTTTTTTGAAACTGAGTCTTCAAATAGGAGCGCTCTGTAAAATTTTGTATTATCTCGGCTTCTAAGCGACGTAGAACCTTCTTTTTTTTAATTTTTGCCTGGGGTAGGCATTCCATTCCCAAAGCCCTCCTCTCTCCAAAGATCTGTCAATACATGTGGTTTTATTGGCCAGACAAGCATAGGGGATTATCGACATGTAAACCAGAGGTTGAGTTTTAAATATTACATTAAATGATGGGTTTATTTATTATATTTACTATCCCGTCCGTTTAACGCATCTGAGAAATAACATATTTTATTAATTCTGACTAATTTTATTCAATAGGAACGACCTAGGGAGGATAATCAAACTCCCGCACAAAGGCAAGCAGCTGCAAAATTGGCTTTAAGGAAGCAATTGGAGAAGACCTTGCTACAGGTAACTATAAATATTGAGAAGCACCTTTAGTTATTTCAAGGCTTTTTTGCGAGTTACATACCCGAAGCCGGAAAATTACTTCTTATTTCAGATTTCAGAGATTATTACAAGCAGTAGTACAAGACTGAACTAAAAATCAAATAAGATTACAATAAAATGAAAAATGTCTGTCGCAAATTCTACATTCGTTTATTGTGCTGATACATGATATACATGTCCGGTATGGACACATAACTCCTCCCTCCTCATGCTGGAAGTTTGTCCTTGAATTTCTTGGTTTTTGTGAAGTTCTTGAAGTTGAAGGTTCTTCCATGAAGATTGACTTGAGATGCATCGGTTGTATAGCGTACAGCTGGGGCTATTTTTGAGTTTTCTCGATTTGGTCTTGTGGTATCTGAATTTTCTGGCTCGTAGTGGTGTACCTACCGATTTTCATGAATTTTTATTGCACAATTAGACTGTATCTGCAATATTTTCGAAAATCTGGATTCTCTTGTTTGTATTCAGTATTATCAGGTTTTTCTCTGTGTCGTGGATAATCGGTTGCTGGAAGACTTAAGGCTGTGGTACAGTTTTCCATTATCTCCAAAATATTCTGCCAATGGTTCGTCTTAGGATGGGGATTTTTAAGGTAATTAGAACTCGAGTATCCGTTGAGACACTGCGCTTTGAGAATGTTCGATTAATCAAAAAGTATGCGATTCATCAGATAATATTTTCCTTGTAGAAAAAAATTAAATGATTCAAGTTCAGTAATTTCTCATTGGGGGCAAAATTCTGCATTCGACTGTTCTGCCGAATTTAGGTAAAAGGTAGTAAAATTGATTTACTGCCTTTTTACATTTTGACGACCATGCATTTCTTTTATGATTACAATCACAAAATATATCATTGAAGATGTTATTTAACAAAAATAGGCATTTTATCAGTTTGTCATATATTTCATATGAGTTATATTTCCTAACACAACTTGAAACAAATTCACCAACACAGCACTTATTAACAGCCACTAACTTAGGAAAAATCAAAACAACTTTATCAAACGTACACTTCAAAGTTAACTTTTCATTTGTCATCGCTACTTAAGTTTTCATGAGTGCTTATACGAGTATATGTTGAGTCTGGAATGTTATTATCAATAAAAAATGAGTCACCTCTAACTTGACTTTCATTAAATGCATTAACTGAAGCTAACTGAGTTCGACGGTTCCGAAAGTATTCATTCGGGCGTTTACCACGTTCTCTGGATTACTGGAAGAACAGAAGAGGCAACGACCTTACCGGGTTTTGGCTTTCACGGGGCCGGTTTCGTCTTTCCTTCGACATTCTTTGCTCGCCATCTTGGACTCGGAAGTGTAATGATGCACTCATGTTTCATCACATGACACGATATGATTAAAAAAAGTCTCTCCCTCCCACCAAAATCGATTCAGATGTCTCCTACTGATTTCCAGTTGGATGTTTTTTATCTTCGTTATTTTGTTGAAGCCAAGATGCCTTTTTAAGATTGTTTGAGCACTTCCAAAGCTAATGCCCACTTCTAAAGCGACTTCATGAATAGTGAGCCGCCTGTCACTTTCAATAAGAATAAGGTCACGAACAGCACCAATGTTCTCACCGGAGACACTTGATCTTGGACGTCGATTATGACTCACATTGTCTACACGTTCTCGTCCACTTTTAGACAGGATATCAACCCCATCCCCCCAGCCTTCAAACGAACCAAAATCTCGCACGGTTTAACGCCTTCCTTCTTCAAAAACTTTATTATAACTCGTTGCGCAACGGACGGTGGGACCGGTTGCTCATCCATGACTGTACTTACACATTGACTGAGTGGAACAGCTCACCACGCATTATCTCCACTTTTAATACACTACACTGCAAGTACCTACACTGTTAGAGCGCTCGTGCTTGGCTAAGAAATATATTTGTAAAATTCCTGTATATGTTTTTGACAGATACCTCCTCCGAAACCACCTCCACCAGAAATGCATTTCATTCCAAATCCAAGCAACACAGAGTTCGTGTATTTAGTAGGACTGGAGCATGTAGTCGATTTTCTGACCAAGGAAGATAGAGGGCCTCCTATTCCACCTCATCCGTTCGCCTGTGGCCAGTGCAGGTCAGACTTCACACCAGTTTGGAAGTGGGAAACTAACAAAAAGAATAAAGGTAACACTGATGCATATTATTAGAATATTTTGTTTGTTCTAAAAACAAGAACTTCGTTAAAATCATTGTAGATTAGGTTAACGCATAACAATACAGTACTCCAAGCTAAGTTTTTAGGTGATAAAATTGCAGGATAGAAGCGAACATACAGGGAAAATTAAGATAAAATGTGGTGCTGCAAGTGCACTAAAATGCAACAGTTTATTTCTTGCAGTTTTTATAAAAATGTTTTATCTGGCTGTTGTATAGTTTTAAATTACAGACCAACTTAAATGAAGTCAAAGTCAATCGATAAAATTGAAAGAAAATTTATTGCAAAAACATTGGTAAAGATGCAGGGTTTTTAAGTTGGTTATATTAGACCAGGATAATATCGTTTTTGCTAGGACGGTCGCAGAACCAGCAAATCAATGGTCATTTGAAATGATACAGGAATATAGTAACAAAGTCTGCAGAAAGTTAGATCAGTTAGTTTGTGCTGAACATACTCATCTATGTACTGATAAGGACATTGCGTGGGACTAATGCAGAGTTAACCTACTTGACGCATTTTTTACTTATAACAGAAAGCAGATCTATAGGCCTGTACTTGTCGGTGTCATGAGCAAATTTCCAGGTTTATGAGAAAGTGTCGGATTCGTAAGTTATCTGGAAGAGACGCGAAAGAACTGGAGCAAGCTTCGCTGCAGATCTGTACAAGTCTAAGATACTTAATATGTACGTTGATGATGGTTCACGAAAACTTTTGCTGTGTTCTTAATATTTTCTTGCTCCAATGACAAATTTGAGAGATCATAATTCCTGTATTCCAAGGCTAGCAATTAAAATATTGGACACATAATAATTTAATCACATCAATTACACATTGTGAACAAATGCATGTGCTATAAAAGGAAAATATCCTTGTATGTGGATATCATCAGCTCCTTGATTGCTTATATTTTACCGGGTGATAATGGAATTGGAAACACGCTGTTTAACCGGAAGTGACATTGACTTTCGTTTTTTAAATGGAAACTTGTATATTTTTTCCATGATCCGACTCTATATAAATTTCCCTTTCCAACAAGTGTCAAAAGTGACATTTTCGTTTTAAACTGGCGACGCTATAAAGGAATTCGTGAATAACCAAAAATCCGTCATATTGCCTATTTGCCTATTAAGTTGATATATAGGTATATTCGGTGAATGTAGAAAAACATTCTAGAAATGCTTGTGCGTTGTGTGCTCAGCGATATCCTAATAGAAGACATCCAAGTTATTCATGCTTTTTGAAGTTCAGAAATGAGGATGTTAATGGTGCTGAAAACAACTCTTTCGTAGTAAGTGAAGAAGCGGAGATAAATGTTTTGGCATATGTTGACTTTGACCCAATGATATCTACTAGGCAGTGGAACAAGCAACAAATGTAAATCGTGAGTCAGCTAGGCAGATTTTGAAAAAACATGGGTTCCGCTCATATAAATTTCAGTTGCACCATCACTTATATGAAAATGATTTACTGTAACTGGTTTTGTGCTCAATTTCAAGAAGATAGAAATTTTCATTATCACATTTTCATCGCATTTCACAAATCTTGTTTAATAAAAATAATACACTTTACTGGCCAACTGAAAATCCACGTTTTATAAGAAAGGAGCCTTTCATGGCCGTTTTGGAGTGAACCTGTGGCTCGACTTGTGGGAACTCGCACAGTTGGTCCTATATTTTATTTTGAACCCTTAAATGGAGGAGATTATCTTAACTTTTTGCAAAATGAAATAGATTTTCTTGATGGTTCACCCCTTGCTGACAGTAGGGATGTTGTATTCAACAAGATGGGGCGTCCGCCCACAACAGCAGAGAAGTTACAGGATATTTAACGGATAGATTCGGGAATTGTTGGCTAGGAACAACCGGTCCTACTAGGTGGCCCGACTTAACCATTTTAGAATTTTTCATTTGGCCCTTCTTGAAGGAGAAGGTTTATGTCACGCCTCCTATAAATCTGTTAGATTTAGAACAGCAAATAACGGCAGCTATATTTTTAAACAATCTGCATGTAGAAACCATAAGAAGGGTCAATAAATGCTACGAAAATAATGGAGGACGCATTGAACTGTATTAGCTTTAATATGAATGTTTAATAGTGTTTAGTTCTTAATTTTGTAATATTTTTTTTATAACTAGAATAGTTGGATAAAATAGGCAGAATAGGGTAGAAGATGATACTATTAATAATTTCAGTTTGTAGTAATCAAAGGGAGTTGCTTTGATAGTCTGTTATTATAAAATTGGATATAAAATCATATTTTTATTACTTTGCTTAAAATTATATTTTTTGGTCTTGATCACATTGACAGTTTAAAATATTTTTCTGTTTTGTAAGCAATTTGGCGGAGTTTAGGTTATTCACAAAATCCTTTATAGCGCCGCCATTTTAAAACGAAAATGTCACGTGTGAAAGGTCATTTTGCATAGACTACGATTATGGAAGAAAATATACAGGTTTCCATTTGAAAAACGGAAGTCAAGATCACTTCCGGTTAAACCGGAAGGGAGAAATAACCCATTTAACTATCCAGAAATGCCTCTTAATGACTAACTAAACATGTCCCAATCTTGGAGCGATCTTTATTTGCCAAAAAAACAGCGTATTTCCAATTTTCATTGTCACCCGGTATATGAACTGCGTCAAATGTGAACATACTTAAATTTGATGTATAGTCTTGCATGTGTGACTATGGCTCATTTTAAAATGCTTATTTGGTTGAACAAAAAAACTCTGTCTTGAATTTGGACTGGTTACACAAAGAACACATCATTGCCTACAATTATTGTTACGCTTTATTCGATATCTTTTGTAATAATCGACTGATTACCCACTAAAAGGTATCCTGTATGTTGCGTGTGCAAGATATTGTCTTTAGCTAAGATCTCATTTATGTAAGTATATGTTTACTTTCAGGCATAAAGTCAGTTATTTGTGAACAATGTGTGACAAACAATGTGAAGAAAGCACTAAAAGCCGAGCACACTAATAGACTGAAAACGGCGTTTGTGAAGGCGCTGCAGCAAGAACAGGAGATCGAGCAAAGACTTGCTCAAGTGAGTGTTCTTATAGATATCATATATTCATGATAGTGTAATAAAAAGGGCCTTACAACTTCCATATTACATGAGTATTCTAAACTAGTAGACAGTTCTTTGCAATAGGAAAATTTTACCCAAATTCAAATCTCGATATTTTTGGAACGGAGAGATATCGAGTTGCGGTATTCGGGAGGTTCTTGACCAACTCCTTCAGAACATGTTCAAGGTTCGAACGGTGTATTTCTTTTATTTATCCAGGGTGTTTCGGGCTATGTCAGATTGTCAATTTTTGATCTTGGAAATTTATCTATGCATCTTTTTGATCTTTGGACTATCCTAAAAAAAGTAATATTTCGAAAGTTGGCTATAACTCAGTTTATCGAATTTTGAAAGTTACATGTATCCCTAAAAAGGGACTTTGTTGGGGGTTTCTCTTGAGAATGGGTATTTTTTGTCATACTGTTGCATAAAGTGGAATTTCTTTCGCCCGAGAAAAAATTCGCATAATTTATTGAGCCGTTGGACCCTTGTTTAGGCACTTTCACCGTATGATTGATGTATTCCTCCATCCCAACGTGGATAATATCGGTTATCGATGAACAGACAGCCGACGCATCTGCGTCAGCTAAACAAACACCTCTCCAAGGAAAGGCGGAGAAGTCCCTGAGCCCCAGCCAGTCGGCATGTCCGTAACGCCAAATTTTGCGGCCTGGGGGAGTTTCTGCTGCCGCAGTGGGTTCTGACCGAAACCTAACCTCCACAACACCGTGGTCTGGGTTAGCCAGGGGAGACAGGACAGCAGTACTGTAAGGGACGGCATGCATGGCCAGAAAGAGATCCAGCAGGCTACTGGCATGTGACGAAACGTGGGGGAAAAAGTAGGGCTCGTCACGAGCTGGGTCAGCCCTTGGGTAATAGCGAACGCTTCAACTGCAAGACCTGCCCAATCGGTCTTGTTTGAGCCCAGCCAAAGCACATTTTGGGCATTGAAATCACCTAGAAGAACTACCTCTGAAGCTGGGTGATTGATGTTTAGGAATTCGATCTTGACAGCGAGGTATTCAAGTAGGTCATTCCAGTGGTAGTTCGAGGGAGAGCGATAAAAGCAGAAAGTAAATTTGTGAGATGTTTTGGGGTTGAGGCGAAGCACCAGAATATCCTTCCGCTCTGATTCCCTTTCTTTCTCAGATTGGAGTCCACCTCTGAATTTGGGAAGCTTAGATGATTAATCGTTGCAGGCTCTGAGAAGTTTGTCTCCGTCAACAAAAGCATGCCGGGACAATTGGATTGCAGGTAGCAATGAACAGCGTCATTGTTGCTGTTAATCCCGCAGATATTCGTGAAACAAATTTTATCATCGTTGTTGTTCCTCGAGTCCAACCCTCCACCCGGAAATTCCGAGAGTAGAGTGAGCTTAAGTCCGGAATTCTTAGTACTCGAGGGATCCATCATCATTAATTTCTTTGTTGGGGAAGACCTAAATTGGCGCGTTGGCGGCCTTGTACAGCCACCCGGCAATGTGTACTGAGATATTCCTTAACGGATGTACAATCACTTGAACGGGAAGAAGTTCTATACAACTTCCGGAACAAGCATTTGCCACGGCCCCGCTCAGTAGAGTAGAGGGTCTACCTAAATATTTTGAGAAGTATATTTAAAAAAAAAAACATTTGCTTTGAAAATGTTAAATGTTACTTCCATGCGCGTGACAAATCCATGGAAGCGATACCAACATTTCATTTACTTGTTTGTAGAACTAGACCCTTCCACGCTCTGCTTATAAAAGCGTACAACATGCGGTTTTTCTCGGTCTTATTAGAGGTCAATTTCTATTCAGCAGGATGGACCAGAAAGACGTTCTAATTTCAAAACCGCATTGCCCGTACACGTACGCAGGAGAGGGACACGCATAGTGGGGATAAGTAGCTTGGTGCTCGGAAATTTAGTCACCATGGAGTGTTTCACCGGTGAGCAGCGTGCGTTCTGTGTTAAGGCTTATTACAAAAATGGAGATTCGTGCACTATTGCGCAGTGTCTGTTTCGATCCGAGTTTGGTTTACATGATCCAAATCTATGTCCTAGTCAAAGTATGATCAGGTCGTGGGTCGGACAGTTTGAGTCCACCGGTTCGACACTGAATCGGAAACCGGCGTAGCCGTCCAAGGTCAATACGGACAGAGGAAACTATAAGCGAAGTTGCGACGTCTGTACGCCGCGATCCACAGTTATCATCCCGAAGGAGATCACGAACATCTTAAAGGCGTATTTTGGTAAAAGACCTTAAATTGCACCCACAGAAACTTAACTAGTGCAGGAACTGAAACAGCAGGACGTCCATCTACGCCGTGCGTTTGTCGAAGCAATGTTAGAGCGCTTTCTAAGTTTCAACAATATTATCTTTTCTGATGAAGCTCATTTGCATTTGAATGCATTTGTCAACAAGCAAAATTACCTGTATTGGGCTGCAGAAAATCCCAATTAAAACACCAACGATTCGCGTTATGTTACAGTTTGGACGGCCATGTCGGCTGAAGGAATCATCTGACCCTATTTCTTCGAAAACGAGCAAGGACAGACTGTAACAGAAAATTCTAATCGCTCACAGCAATGCTACGTAAGCTTTTCGTAGGACCTGGTTTCAACAAGATGGCGCGACATCCCATTCCGCCAACGAGGCTTTAACAGTTGTAAACGAAATGTTTAGTGGAAAACTGATATCGCGACGAGGGGACACTCCGTGGCCTCCCCGGAGCCCAGATCTCACGCCACTGGATTTTTTTCTCTGGGGATATCTCAAGAGCCGCGATTACGCCAATAAACCGTCGACGATTACCCATCAACGTTTCCGGGCTCACATTTCAAAGATGTTATTTTTCAAAAACAAAATTCTAGCGTGTATACTTTATTAAAAATATAAATTCCTTTCCCCTATTCTTGTAGTTTTTTCTATGATTTTTTTAAATTGCTCAAGTTAATGGCCTACCCTTATAATGGTTATTTTGTATTTTCTCAATTACTATGGAAACCAAAGTAAAATACAATTTAAGGATTTCTATTTTCGAAAACGTTGTGCCTGTTGATGAGAATCACCCATAAATTCCAGAATGGAGTGTTCACATCCCCGACAAGTCCGTCACCGTCGCCAGACGCGCTGCCGAAGAGTGTGACGCCAACACCCCGTCACTCGGCCGCTCCCACTCCTCCTGCCCCTTCTGCGTCTGCACCTGCACGGCCGCAACAAACAGCGACGCCACCGCAACAGATGCCAACCACGCGCGAGCTGTCATCTCAGCAACAACGTCACGGATCGACAGGCAGTGGCAGCAACAGGTAGATAAATAGATACTTTGTCTTATAGATCATGTAACATGATTGACGACTTGTCACTTTGAAACAAAAAATCTTCCGCTGACTCTACCAGCCAGCCAAAGTACTCATAAACGCATGCACCTTAACTTATTCAAGGTGGCAGTTCTATGCCACGCTCATTAGCAGCTCCATTGGCTGGCAACAATACTACACCAACAAGAGCCAACCGAAACTTCTGTAGTATAATTTCAAACCTCGAGTTTTCGAGCCGACATCTAACCACAAGCACGCGGCCGGTTATAGCCACTTGCCGTGGTACTTCAAGCCCAAAGGATCTACAAAAAAGAAAGAATCATGCGTAGAACAAGGTATATACCAAATAGAAAAATAATGGTCAAAATCCGCAAATAGGAGAAAAGTGGATTCGAGCAGAAAGTAGGATAGATAACCCGAGCAATACGTATTTCTGCATGTTGGCTTCATCAGGCCCGAAATGGATGCATGCAACTACAAAAGTAGACACACATGCTCATACATCCGGAGACGGGTGAAACCTGTGGAAACTAAGATAGAGCGGATAGCCACTTGCTGTGGTACTTCAAGACAAAGGATCTACAAAGAGAAAATTGTCATGTGGAAAAAGGTATATAACAAAAAATAGTAAAATAATGGGCAAAATC